TAAACTTTCTCAATCGTAATAAACTCTTATAGATTAAACATGTCATTGCAGATATTCTTATAATACCTAGAAATTTTAATAATATTTAAGTCACATCAATTATAAGAGAATTTTAAATTATATATACTACATATTTTATCATCAATTACTTTATCACAACTTAATTAACACAGCTTATCAATGAGCAGGCATGAATTTATTTGTTCTATTTTAGATTAAATTGGATATTTTTTAAAAATATTTTTTATATTTGCTTCTAATTACATGACATTTAATTTTGATGTATTTGTATTTAAACAGTTTTTATTTGTATATAATTAAAATCAGTAACAGTTTAGATTTTCTGTTTGAAGCTTTTGTTAAAATGTTATGTGAGCAATGAATATGAAATATAAGTTAATTGTGAGTTCAAACATGAAATTTAATTCTTTATTTTTTATTCATTATTTAACTACATGTAATTTTTTCTGTTATAAGTAAAACTTGGTAATCCTACCTGAATATGGGGTTTTAGGAAGATTCAAGTGGTCAGAAATTACATATAAGTGTATCAGATTAATTTGATTTGACCCACTTCTTCTCTGAACGTCGGACTTTACACATCTTGTCTGGTTGTTGTCATAAGAAGTATGTTAGTACTGTTGGGTAAATGCAAAATACCAATTTTTTAAAAATGATATACATATATGATTTTTACAGATATTATCTAAGACCACCAGAAACATTGTAGAGGCTGAAAGGATAGCTGAATCATACATCTTATTCTTAGATGTACTAATATAGGGTATGGGTACAATATTGATTTTATATGAACATTTTTAACAATATTTGTACTTGTTTATATTAATACTAACTAAAGCTGCATTAATACTCTTACAAATAATATAAATAATTTCTAATAATCTTCTTTTTCGATTTTATGGGACATTTATGTATTATTGAATCATTGAATGAACCAAGAACTACCTTATTTATTTATTTTTTATTTTCTATGTAATATATAGTAAGGGAAATTATTGCAATCGTGAAAAAATTTGAATTTGAGTTTCAAATGGAAATAAACATTTTGAGGTCCCCTGAGTCTGAATAACCAAGCCCCACAAATTTTTCTAGAAAAGAAACATTTTCACTAAAATAAGCTAACCAGATGTGATACTTTAAATCATAGATTTTACATATTTTTAGAATTTTCTCAAAATGACTATAACGATTTTGATTAAATTTGTTATATCAACGTAACATTACATGATCTTTAATATCAGTGATTAATTTGATGAACCTTCCTTCCCTCACGACATTATATTCTTCGGATAGATTCATTTGACCTATCAATGGTAGCCAATGGAAACCTTGTAACTCTATTTTGGTAAATTTATCTATGGAAAAAATAAGAGTTTAAAATCATATATTAAGTGATGCATATTTAGTTCTTATAATTTTTAACATGCAAAACAATCCTTACTTATTTATAAATTAAATATATAATTTTACTACTTGTTTACCTACTAAATAGACTAAGAACAGGATGGCCGAGCATGTTAGGTTGTGGATTCCAGAGTACCCAATTCTGAATGTTCTAGGTCCAATTCCCACCTTTACTTTACTTTACTACATATCTCTAAGGCCTAAGCTGGGCCTTGGCTTCCTGAAAACATTGTACCAGTCCTCTCTGCATAATGCTCTCTTCCTCCAATTCCTTATACTGAAATTTTCCAGGTATTTTTCCATACTTGAATCTATGATGTCTGTGAGGTCATCCTCTCCTTCTGGTACCATACATTTTTCCAAACAGAATTCTTTTTTGAATTTTTGATTCATCCATCAGCTTGAATAAATCGATAAAAGATAGTTCTTCCTTGCCACTAAACAAATATCATCAGCGTACGTACATATTTGAGTGGATGAACACAGTATATCTCTATTGGAGATTAGCTTCCCAATCACACTTGGAGTTTAGCTTCCCAATCAGTGCAATGTTAAATAGTGTAGCAGATCACACCCTGAATTTTTATATAAAATTGAAAAAGCTCGAGGTCTTGTGTTTTTTTTTTTTTCGGCCTTGGGGGCTGAAGAGGCAGCTTGACCTACACAGACCAAGGAGGTCTTATGTCTTTACCCGTCCTTGGGAACTGAAGATACAGCTTGGTCTACACAAACCCGATAGATGGGCGTCTTGGATGAGTTTGGACCTGGGCTTGAAGAGAGAACCTTCAATCAGCAGATGCAGTGATGAAACCTACTAACTACACCACTTCATAAACCATAGCTAAGTTTAAATTTCCAATAACAGATTTACCATAGTTGAGATATTTCATGGCATAATTCTCAAACAGTCCATCTGAAATCATATCTTCATAGTTAATTATTAAATTCAATGAATCCTGTATTTAGTTTATTGTTAATAGTATTTTCACATTAAGATTTTCACATAAGTTGTATACATAGTTTATTAAACATAAGAATAAAATAAGTTTTTTAGTAAGAGTTATTTTAATTCTGCCACCCACTTATATCATGATGATCATACTTAATGTTGGTTCTTAGAAAGCACGATAAACATAAACCAGTCTTTGAGAAAAGAAATTCAATTAATTAATCCTGGACCAATCAATGTATTATAGATCCACATTTCTTTAACTAATTTTTTTATTAAATATTTCTGAGTAATTATCATAATTATTTATCCAGTGACATCCCGAATAATTTCATCCCAAAACATAGCAACTTTAATGTCATCCCTTTTTTTGAGACAAAACATAGCACTTTGCTTCACAAACCATTTCTGCTGAAGATATATCTCAAAATCATTTGAAATTTGTAACACTGGTAATTATGCTAAACAACTACTGAGAGTACATAGCCATAGCCTTTGTAGTACCTGAATCTGTTTAAACAGAAATGTGTAACGGCAGTATAGCAATTGTTATTGCTTATTGCAAATCATGGGTATAATTACAAATGAAGACAAAATTAGAATGACTGAAAACAGTGGTGATACTTATGAGAATTATAAAAAAGAAAAAGAAAAAATCTGGTGTGTCCACTCACACCACTTTCATACCTATTTCAGAAAGTTTTTATATCTTTACATATGTCCATCAAGAAACAAAAAAAAAAAAAAAATGAATTAGATTTAAATTCCTGAAAATTGATCAAAGAAAAGATTTAAGTATGATTTACTATAAACTATAGCAATGTAAACCGGCTTGAGGTAATTTAAATTTCAATACCTTCTAATATTATAGACCAAAAACTTTTCGCCATAGCCTAATTCTGTCAAACTATAATTTCTGTTAAAAGTAGAAGTAAGTAGTTCCCGAGAAAATCTTGGCACGGACAGACAGACCAATGGCTAAAAATGTGTTTTTCGAACTCAGGGGGCTCTGAAACGTATAGATCCGTCGAAAACCGCATTTCTGAAATTTGACCCGATCGCAATAATTCCTTACCTAGTATAGGTAGGAAAGTAATAAATTAAAAAATGTGAAGAAAATATAATACGCTATATCATTGCTAATACTAGTTCGATTCCAATGATGTTTTTTTATTTTGTTGGCAATTTAATTACCTTTCAAAAGTTTTCTTATAGATTTTACCATAGAATATATACTTAGGGAGTTAGGCCCCAAAACATTTTTCTTTTCTCTGTAACTTTTTTTCCTGAATTTTTTTGGGAATTTAGTCCATTTATGAAAATTGAAAAGACAATTATTAGAATAATATAGGAAAGTTTCATCAAAATCGTTAGAGCCGTTTTTGTGCTACAGTCTATAGAAAAACATGTTTTAATTTATTGCACAGCAGTTATTTCGCATTCAGCACCCTATTTCTGTCACCGGCATCAGTAGTCAAAACCCTACAAAATAAAAAAAGAAGCAACAAAATCGGTTCAGTAGTTCCCGAGAAAATCTTGGCACAGACAGACCAATGGCTAAACATGTGTTTTTCGGACTCAGGGGGCTCATAAAAGTATAGATCCATCAAAAACCGCATATCGGAAATTTGACCCGATCACAATACTTATAGTATAGGTAGGAAAGTAAAACATATATATAATATAAAGAAAAAGGAAAATAGTTTCTAAAAACACAAGTAGTAAAATAAACAGTTTATTTTCTAACAATCTTCCATCAAAGGATATCACAATAATGACTAAAATTAATTCGATAATTTCAGGTTAAGAAGTAATAAAAATATAAGTATATTTAATAAATACAATCCAATTAGTATAAGATTTTCTTTGAATTTGTTTATTGTGTAAAGTAACTCTATTTTGATTTTTTCTTATACGTTTTTTTCATCATATATAAATAATATAATTATGGTCTAACTGTTAAATGACAGGAACTAATATATATTCCAATTAGTAATTTATAAACTGTACTTTTCAGTGGATATGAAATAAATTTGTCTAAACATCAATTCAAATTTTATCATTTTAAAAATCTTGAAGTTAAAGCATGTGACTAGATACTGATGTATTTCCAAAAACTTATTTGATTAATTTACAAAAGTTAAAATAAATAACAACAACTTTTAAACAAATAATTTTGTTGTCATACAAATATAACATTTAAACTTATTACTACAATAATACAACATAATATTTTATTAGGCTGATAACATTAGACTTTAATATAATAAATATAATTTTTGAAAATAAAAATATTTTATACAAATTACAAATATATCACAGATAGGTTATTTGGATACTTTACTTAATTTACGATGGGTTGATTGTTGTACCATCCAATTTAATATTTGATAGTACTTTTAATTTTAAGATGGAATGGTTAATGAGAGAGTCTGCAGTAATACTTAAAATATTAAAAATCTATAAATATTCTATTCAAAATATTTTAATCCCTTTAATTAATTTTATTAAGAGTTTAGAATTCAGTCTTAGATTACATATTTTTTATTTTTAACTCTGTTTTTTGTTGTTATATTTTAAAATTTGACTTGGTTCCTCCTACTTATTCCAATTTTACTGTACATTTGTATATAATGTTTAGTAATTTTTGAAAAACAAATATTTTAAAATAACTGTTATATTGTTTTGACTTTAGTAAGATGCAAACTCTGCACATAACCATTGCCATTTGAATATCTTGGAAATCTGTTTTTATCTTCTTAAAGTCTGGTCTATCCATGAAACATAATCAGATATCCTTGTATACAGACCTGGTAATTTTGGTCTAGCACAGCCGATTCCAGTAGAAACAATACCGATAACCATCGTATTTTGTCCTTCTCCGACCATCAAAGGACCGCCACTGTCAGCCTGTAATGGAATAATTAATGTATGTTAAATCTTGAATAAGGTAAAATAATTTAAATAAATCTTCTAAAGAAACAGATATCTTAAAATCTCTAAGAATATCAATTGATTACGTAGTATATAATAAATACTGTATTTGGAATATTCTTTCTGTAACAATTTATTATCATATTATTATTAATTGTTTTTAGTCATAAAAATAATAATACTTTAGTCTAAAAAAACAAACAGATATAAAAAATAGAATGAACTGTAGTCAAGATAATATTAAAACAGTTAAAATGAAGACTGTAAAATTTCTTATGAAAAATTATTTAACTACATAGATTTTAAAATATTTATAAAAAATATATATTATTATTTCAAAAATGCTTTGCTTATAATGAAATTAATATTAAATACTATTCTTCTCTGGTTTTATTTGAAATCCTTTATTTTTCAAGTTTAGTTGAAAAAAAATGTTGGTAGCTAAGATGTTGAAACATTCTGGCTGCTTATGTAGATTCCTTACAAAAAAAAAGTAGTTTGTTTTAATACTAAGAATTAAAATAAATATATAAGGAGCATTTTAAAGCAATCAAGAGAATATAATTCTCGGAAGCAAAAGCATGTAGTACCTATTTTATTTCTTTCAATTGAGTAAATTTAATTAAATGAGTAAAGCAATGATTTTCTGACTACAGGACACAGGTTTAAATTCATACTATAAAATGTAATTAATAAAACTACAGTAATGTAATGTAAATGATATTAGATGTAATTAGTGATTAATCTTTATAGTAGAAAACAAAACCAAAAAATAATTGAAATAGTAATTTTTGTAAGAAAAAATATTGTTTATTAAAATAAAATAAAAAAGAGATTAATGTATGAACAAGAATACTCAAGATACTCTTAAATTTTGAATCTGATGAGATTAAAATGTAACTTACCCAGCATGAATCCTTTCCTCCTTGTTCAAATCCAGCACACATTTGAGAATCATGGATTTTAACCTTCTTTCCCATTGATTTGTACCAGGCACGGCATCTATCATTTCCGAGTACTGTCAACTCTACTTTTTGTAATATGTTAGTTCTTCCTCCTAGGATATTAGAAATAAACTCTTATAAAGGATTTTTAGTACATTTTAATTCCTTAATGGATACAATTACTGTAGAGGGATAGGGAAAAAACTGTTAAAGATAAACTTAAAAGAAAATATTGTTATAAAGGCAAAAAAAAAAAAAAAAAAAAAAAAAAAAGAAAATGTATAAACTGCAATGATTAATTAATAGTGTCCCCGCCCCAAACGGGCTAACGTGTACGTAACGAAGAGCCTTAAAGGCGAGGAAGGGGAGGACCCAAAAAAAAAAAAAAAAATGATAAATTAAGCATGATGTTTCGTGAGTAGCATTTTATAAATTATTCTACTTAGACAATTCTTGCAATCAAATGGTTTATGTTTTAGTTTATCAAATAACCATTTATCGGTAAATTAAAAAAAAAAAATAGTGCTGATTTGACCAAGAAACCTAGCTCTACAAATATAAAATTTATTATTGAACAATTAATAGTTGACCGTTGTAATTTAGAGGTAGGAGATGGTCTGGGATGGCGGTCATAAATAGACTAAAATAGCGGCTTGAAATAAAATAGTTTTGTCACTATTTTAGTCTATTTATGACCGTCACCCCGCACCATCTTCTACCTATAAAATTTATTATTACTAATTTAACGTTTAATTGTTAAAACTACCTAATTGATTAATTAACAAATAAGGTAAATTGCAGCTATTTAAAAATGAGCTTGGATGTAAAGTAATTGGGTAAGTAATATGTTAACATTACTTTGACATTATTAGTTAAGAAATAGAATATCATAAGTTCCATTGGTATAGTTTTAATAAATTTTAAAAGTTTATATTTACTTAAACCATACCTTCCATACCTTTTGGAAAGGGGTCATGAATATAAAATCCCTATACACCACCTGTTTGTCAATTTAAGAGTGCATATGACAGCATCAAACAACCTAAGCTGTATGAGGCATTGAGAGAAATGGACATTCCAAACAAACTGATATGTCTCGTGAAGTTGACAATGAAAGATGTAAGGTGTCAGGCACGGATCCAGTCTGACTGCTCTGATGCATTTCGCTCCAACAAAGGATTAAGACAGGGGGATGGACTGGCCTGTCTTCTCTTCAATCTTGCACTGGAGAAAGTTGTATGGGATTCAGGAATCTACACAACAGACCACACGATATACATCCTTACTGTACAGATATTGGGATACACCTGGATATCATGGCCATGACCTTATTGGCATTGGTAGAAGCCTTTAAGAAACTTATGGAGGCTGCTTCAGCCATGGGGTTGACCATAAACAAGAATAAAACAAAATATATGAACACAGGGACTGGTGGTGAGGAGGCACTGATTGTGGGAGCCTTACACATTCCAAAGTCTGAACGAGTTTATGTATTTGGGATCTCTAGTGACACCAAGAAACGGTGTCTCTGCTGAGATAAGGAAAATGCTGGTGGTGGCAAATAGGGCATATTTTGCCTTACTGAAAACTCTTCGCACTTTTATACGCCCAGTTCTTACATATGCTTCCCAATCCTGGACCACCTCAAGAAATAATGAAAATAGTCTTTTAATTTAAAAAAAAAAAATCTTATGGTGAATAATTTGCCCAGTGAGAGATGGAGATGGATGGAGGATTAGGAGGAACAGGCAGCTTTATGACCTTTACGGAAATATGGACGTTGTAAAGTTTATAAAACGGAGAAGACTCATTTGGGCTGACCACATCGCAAGGATGGAAGCGGAAAAATTCCTAGAAAAGTTATGGACACCACCCTTCACGGTCCACGACGGCCTGATAGGCCAAGGCTTCGATGGGTTGATGGAGTGGCAGCGGACATACGGAGCCTGCTATGGATCAAAAGCTGAAAAGCGGCAGCACAAAATTGGACCGAATGGCAGTGGCTCATTGAGAAGGCCAAGACCCATCCAGGGTTGTAGCGCCATGTAGATAGATAGATCCTTCCATATTAATTCACAATAATGTCAGATACCTACATCAAATCTTTAACCAAAATTCTTTTTATTATGAAGAATTTGTGTGGATTAGATAAATATTTTTAATGAATTCTTGAAGGAAGTTAGTCGACTGTTCTACATATCATGGGTGATAAATATTCAGGACGTAGTCTTTTTTAAATTTTTTTTTATTTTTGCCAATGTTTCAACCCAAACATGTGGGTCATCTTCAGGGCTGAAAATGTTTTTTTAAAATTACAATCAGAGATATAATAGTATACGACCACTAATTATAAATAATAAACTATAATGATTGATGGCACATGAATCTTAACTAATATTGTAATACACATATTAAAATAGTTATACAAACTAAAAATAAAAAATAAAAAATAATATATGTAATCCATTTATATAAATTTGTAATATTATATTATATACTAATTATATTATATACATTATTTTTTATTTTTAGTTTGTATAACTATTTTAATATGTGTATTACAATATTAGTTAAGATTCATGTGCCATCAATCATTATAGTTTATTATTTATAATTAGCGGTCGTATACTATTATATCTCTGATTTTAATTTTAAAAAAACATTTTCAGCCCTGAAGATGACCCACATGTTTGGGTTGAAACGTTGGCAAAAATAAAAAAAAATTTTAAAAAAGACTGCGTCCTGAATATTTATCACCCATGATAAATATTTTTAAAAAAAGCTGATTTACCCGCACTGGCACTGGTTTGCTCTGATGTCCAACCCCAGCCTGCAACAACAGCTACAGAATCAGAAAATGATCCTTGATAATTCGTTGGCAGGCAGGCTGGTCTTACTGCATCCGACCATGATAATTCCTCGTCCAATTCCAACAAAGCTATGTCATTCAAATATCTGTAATGGAATAAAAATGTGTTATCGAATACACTACGAAGAGCATGTAAGAGAATTGAATCAATTGAGAATTTGATTTGAGTAAAGCTTATTTCTGCTTTCAGTAATTTTTTTCCCTATAAGAAATCACTTTCATTATAAATCTCTTCCATTTAGAAAAGTGCATCTGGAATCCGGAATTCTCAAATGTGCCTTTCTGTTGACAGAATGACTAACTCTTATTTTAATATTTTTTATTATTAATTTTAGTGATATTCATAGTAGGGAGGAATTTTTACTTTCATTCACAGTTCTATATTTCGACATTGCAATCATCCACTCTGGAATCTACTAACACACTGTCTGTACAGATATTACAAATTTTCCAACCAGAAATATCACCAAAATGACTTTACCTCAAAAATGTTGAAATTTGAGTTAGTCATTCTTTCAAATGAAGGGATGAAATATTTGTCCCTTGTTAGCTTTTTAGCTCCCCTGATATTTTACTATTATCATTAGGTATAACATTGTAATATTAATAACTATGATAAAACTTTCTTACTTTATACATGACTTTGTGTAAAATGTTCATTGTTTGAATAATGTATTCATTATTATATTGGTTTCATTATTTAATGTTAAATTTCAATATATTATGCCATACATCTACATATTACTTACCTAATTTAAATTAAAAAAAAAACTGTGTTAAATATATTTAATGAATATAACTACTTGGGTTAGTTAAATATCTGGTTTAAATATTATTAAGTCAGTTATGTATCTAGTGACCAATAGTTAAATATCTGGTTTCCTAGTTTGAAATAATCAAAAAATTTCAATTGAAATTTTCTGAATTATTTGATTTTCTTAAGGTATAAGAATATTATGTTTCATGAGTGATTGGAAATTAATTGTATCAAAAAGACAAAAACAATATTATGAAAGTTTAAAAAAATGTTGATTATTATATTTTTTTTATACAAAGTCCCGAATAGCATGAACGGCACCAGATAAATATAGTTGAGGAGATAATAAGGCAGAAAATAAAATGGAGATGTAAAATCGTTACATTTATAAACAGAAAAGTTCCAATAATACACTCGGCTGGTGCATCCAATGGGTGTACCAAGACATAGGTGGGAGGATTGTTTTAATAAAGATCTAAGACGGTTTGTGAAAGTATGAAGACTTTGATTGGTGGTTTTGGTATCAGACCTTGCTAAGAATTTTATTATTATTAAAATTTATTAATTTTCAACTCTTGGTAAATCACATACAATCAATATTACTATTTTACAAAATTTCATTATTAGAAATTAACTGAGTAACTTTATTCATTAGAGTAAATAAATTTACTCTATACTTAGAGTATAGAGTTTGCTAGAGCAAAGTATAATTTTAATTATTGGAATTATGAAAGCCTTGTTTAAGAAAAGTTTGTAAATTGACTATAAATACTAAACTGCATAGATATTATTTTATATTAATTAATTATTTCATTAAATTGTATGGATTTAGTCATTAATTGAGTTCAGTATGCAACAATCTTAAAAAGTATGCGATTTGAAATTAATAGAACCACTTAACATTTATCATAAGTTATTTGAAGTTGTAGACTTATACTAAAAGACTCACTTAGAACAGGAATAGCTAGGATGCAGTAGTACATTCCTGACTCCAACATATTTTGCTGGTGGCAGCCTGAGATCATGGCCTCCAACTAAAATTCGAAGATCGCCAGTGCCCAACACTAATCCACCACTGAAAATATATCAGATTTAAATATCTTATTATTTTTTTAAATAAAATAATTTATCCAAAATAAACAATTTTAAACCAAATGAAATATTAATTTTTTTTTAATGTTATAAAAATGAAATATGTTTTGACATTGAAATGATTCACCATCATTAAAATATTTTTGCAATAAATAAATAAATCCATCTATATATCCATGCAGATGTCAACTGACAATAAGAAAGTCTCTTGACATCCACATCGAAAGTTGTTATGAATGGATATAAAATTGAAATGAATTAAAATACATAAATTTGATATTAGGAAAAAAGATTGAAACTAATTTTTTGTTGTTTTTCGAACCTCTTCCATAGTTATTACATATGTATTATAAATATATATATATATAATTTTATCAGAACAAAAATCTTTTACAATGAATATGATCCAATTATTCCTTAAAATGATAAATAAGCATTTCTTGGTGTTTTAAATTTTGACCATGTTGATCTCATACAATTAATGATAAACATTATCAATAAATAATTACAAAAGAGTCTTGTAAATAATTTTTCTTTTGTTATTTTATATCATTTTATGTAATGTTAATAATTAATTTATACTAGATATTATTATTATTATTTTTGTAAATACATATTATTGAGTGGAATAAAACAAAAAGAAACTAAGAAGTAACAAAACTAGTAACATGGAATAATATTAGTAATGGAATAATATTTATTATAAAATATTGTTTTAAATAATTTTATAAACTTGTTCTTGTTTAAAAAATTGGCTCAATATGTTTTCAAAACTATTATAAATGAAACCAAAACATATCGTTGATACAAATGCTAACTATTGAATCAGAAAGTCACTATTTTAATATCATTGCCAGTTCAGTCCAAATAATGTTTTGATTTACACACTAATATGTGCTTTTATGAATGTTTAAAGAATGTTTTATGAATGTTTGTATTCGCTCTTCAAAAATATTTAATTACAATTACAATCGCTAGAGTGCAGGATGGAAAATTTTTCATGTTTTCATATTCGATAGCATTAGTATTGCCTATATATGATAGGGCCTTGTTAGATCAATGTAGTTTCATAAATTTAAACCTATTTCATACTGAATTGAGATGGTTTTGGCCTTTAGAGCTTTGGTAAATGATCTATTACAATGAAAATTGTGAAAAATGTTATACTAAATTTAATGGAATACATTGAATCAAGTTATAAAATAACAAATTTACTATTTAAAAGCTCTCTTTCCCACCCATCCACAACTCTAAATTTACTTTAATCTTTTTCGTTGAACTTACCATTGACCAAAATCATTAATAATTTGGACTTAACCAATTTTGGGGTATACCAAGTAAGTATATTATTATTTTAACAAATGTATATAAAATCATTTATAATTTAGAAAAAAATTCGAACTGTAATATGGAAAGTACTCAGTTTAATATTACTATTAATATGTTATAAGAGTATTGAGATATATGATTATTGATTCTGTAAATAAATGTGTTATATTATTTGGTGCACTTACCTGCAAAGGCAGTGAGCAGCAGTGAGTACCCATCTATTGTTGAGGACTGTACCACCGCAAAAGTGCCCTCCTCTCCTTGTTATTGATACTATCCATGGGAACTCACCATTGGCAGCATCTTTTCCACCGACAATTCTTCCTAATCTAGGTGCTCTTCCACAGGCAACATCAGCAACTGTAATGAAATAAACCACATTGTAAAATAATAGCTACTTATATCATGTAAATCTTTACTCATACATGTTTCAGAAAAATATCTTTAGCCATATTTATTTATAGTAATAATTTTAGATCACTATAATATCATGGAAAATAACACAAGGTGCAACTTAACGTCCTTACAATCCAGTAGCTACACACTGTCTTGTGAACTCTATGTTGGTTGGTCTTTCATCATTCTTAGAATTTTTTTTAATGACTGTAAATAAATAATTTATTATTTCCATATTTTTAATCAGAAATGCGAACGATTCATCAAAGAAACGTCTTAAAAAAAATATATTAAATATAGTAATAATAATTTAACAATGGGACCAATAGTGTTGTAAAACATAAGTCAACTATCCTTACAACCAACAGGCTATAGATAGGCCTTAACTGACTGCCCACCTCCACAAAAGTTTAAACTGGATTAAATAGTAGGGACAAACATACAACAAAACGTATTACTTATTAACTAACTTATTAATTTACTTATTAAAAAAGTGGGTGGTTAGAAGCCCTTCATCTGAGGAAAAAAGAATGTGGTGACTAAAAGTGCCTAAAGAGAACTTTAAATGCTCTAATTCAAACATGGAAACTTGTGAGAATGTTGAAGAGACAAATAGTAAAATTATGATTCTAGTAATTTATTCATGCATGTATATTTCATTTACGATAAATAAAATAAAAAGTGTATTGAGATCTCTCTTTCACGTCTCACTTCGATCTATATGGAATCGACTTTTAGGTGGATAATGAAGAAACATAGATACTTTCGTTCAATGCTTACCTCCTTAAATCATATGAGATGCAATAAACCAATTAATTTCCTATTCGCTGATCCACTCCCACCCCCAAGCATGAAAAATATCTATAAACAGGACCATTGATCTGTAATTTGTAGCCTACCTAATTTACTTCAGCAAAGTAAATATTTATTTATAATTTAATATAATAATGTTTGTTAAAAATTAAAAAAAATAAAATCTTGTTTGCTCTACAAACCATGAAGGCATGAAAAGTCCGAGGTTCAAGTACTTTTTAAGCAAGCACTGTTTCTTGGTGGATAGTTGTGCCAGGTGGTGATTTGACCGAGATTGCATTCTACTGCTAGGTTTTTTCTATTAATTAATAATTTAACTAAGAGCATCCACTTCATAGAGGCTGGATATGCCTCAGGTCCATTCATGGATGATGAAACCGAATAAATAATTATTTCACTCTGTCAGACTCGACCCAAACTTAGAGCATTGAGGCACTGTGCCTTAATCACTGAGCTGCCTTACTCTGTTAATAAAATAATTCTTCTAAAACATAAAGAACTGTTTATTCGATATAAAATGGCAACACTGAAGAAGAACCACCAAAAGTTAGTAGTGATGACCGCGAAATTCAAACAAGATTATGGAATTGAGGCGTGAAAAGAGGACATTGCGTCCTTCACCGAGACACAGATCACTTACAGTTGGTCATTTGAGCTGCAGCGGCGGATGTCAGCAGCAGTAGCAGGCACAGAAGGGTCATGGCGATGTTTGTACGCTGGATACTCCTCCATCGGTATATATCGTCGTCCTCAAGGACCTCAGGAAGTCCCCCTCCCCTGGCATCACCGCGGATCTATAGGAAGTGGTGGATCGTCCTATCAGAGGTCATAGGGTAAGTCTTTCTATAGAGCTAGTTTAGATCGATATTATATTTCTGGGATCAAGTTAAAGAACTACAAGAAATAAAAAATCTTAAGCGTGTACGATTCAGATTTAGTTTTAGACCGGTTGATTCGTTTGAACTATGAACCGACTGATTCGGTCATTTAAAAACATTTCACAGAAAATTGTCTTATGATGAAAAAGATAAACCAAAAACTCTGTGTTGTATCGGAAGAAAGAATTTTTCGAAAACAGTGAAAGGTAGGAAGATTTCTTTAGAACTGCATTGAAAATTGTAAAATAAGTTTTATCTGATTATAACAGAAATCATATCAATAACACGACAATATTTAGTCATATTGATTGTAAAACTAACTAATATTTTTTTTTGTGCTTGTTGCAGGCCTTCATCAGGGCAGCACATACTAAGGGTGTCGAATCGGTATTTTTTTTGTCAGCCGACGTCGCACACTGCTTCGAGTGAACGATGGAAATGGACAAAATTCTGTTTTCTATTGATTCTTATAGAAAATTTAACGGTAATTACGAATATATCCTATATTCATGACCAAGGATAATGTATTTTTCTCCGAAAACCGTAATTTTAAACTTAATTTCTAAGTTTCCGATCCTATGGTATGAAATTTCGCCTAATGGCATAGTTGTAGATAATAATATAATTTCGAATTGATTGAATCCCAACATTATTAGTGTGAAAGTTATCAAGAAAGTATTAAAATACGAAATTTATCAGAAAAACAAGTTAGTTTTAAAAACGCCAACTTTTGAAATATAATTATAAAAACAATTAAGAACATTTCACAAAATGAAAAATAATATATTCGAATACACGATAATATATATATTATACATAGCTCAGCAAATGTTCAACTTAGAAAGTAAGGACAATTTCTGAACCTCTTGCTGAAGCCAAGAAGTGTTTCCCAAATAAAATTGTTTGCGACCCCTTCACGCTTATTTTAATTTAATATTAAAATTAAGACGAAACAACTTACTAATCTTCGCTATTCCTTTATTACATTCGTCACTCATGTCTTGCACATTCAGCAATGAATACAGTTCTTCCATGATTATGGTTACGCGATAAACTTTTTTGTGCTGGGAACATATTTCTGTCATGTGGGCGTGAGTTATGATGGCTCGGTCTATTGAAAAAAACAATTATATAAATAAAGTTGAACCCAAAAGCACAAAATTAAAGTGCATACTCAATGCTATAAGAATATGCCAGAAGTACAAAATGATATTTAATGATTTTTTAAAAAATATTTTTAAAGTTTAAATGTTAAAAAACTTGAGTCAAATTAAATACAGGGATGCAAAATAATTTAATGATTTAATTTTCGCAATTAAATTGGACACTTTCAAATCCATTTGACTTGAAAAATAATATAAAGAATGATATAATCCTGGAAGATTATATTCGAAGGTTTATTAACAGATTTCAAACGGCAATTGACTTGTTAGAAAATAGTACAATTTCTGATTTTTGTCCATTGGTCGATGCAATGTGCGCCGTTTCAAATCCGGCATGGACAGGTTGAAATCTTTCTTATGGCGTGCGCAAGGTATCAATTTCGTCATTCTCCCCCTTGATTAGTAGGGATGCCCTGATATATATTTATATATATATATATATATATATATATATATATATATTAAAAATGTAATCACACGACCAATTATACTTTAAGAGATAATTTTTAAATATTTTTTTCAAAAGACTTGGTTTTATTTAATAGTTGTATGTGCATTATATATATTTTTTTTTAAATAGGACATATTCTGATTTTTAAGTATTTAGCTAGATCACTCATAATATATTAACAAATATGGCTCAATGAAAAAAAGTTTCCATTTTGGAAGGGGTGCGAGGAGGGCTCCAGCCCGACAACCTTCCCCCGTAGATCAGCCAGTGTTCAGTATTAAATTTGAAATTGGCAACTTGACATGTACTACATGAAGAGAAACTACCCATTTGTAGCACTCCAATTATAGCTCTACATTAGCAGGTCCCGAGGCCATCTTCTTTTCAGCTTTTAAGCTAGGTTAGAAACAAGAGAGTTCGGATGATTCAGAAGTTTATCATGGAAGGATAGGTATCTAGATTGAGCTAAATCGGAAATATATGGTACATTAAGATCGTTATGAATGATTTCATTTGTGGCGAAGTATGGAGCAATGAGGATTTTATGAAGGATTTTGGATTGAGAATTCAAAGTGGGTCTTTTGTCCAAGTGGAGTTCAAGTTATCGGATTTGTTCGACAGGGATAAGTGGGGTATTGTTAAAGTATACTGTAGGGCAGAAAGTCGTAGGTTTACAACGGAGTCTTCAGTAGTAAGGAATTAACACCAAATGAAATCTACAATTTTCTAAACATTTATACATATATCCAATTAGATCAATACAGCCTATACATAGTAATCCAAGGACATTGGGTATAATTATCACTGTGTAATAAATTTCAGAAAAACAAATGTGTGCAATCTCTGCAATTACTGATAAGAAATTAGGTTACAGATAGCGTGAACTAAATTTGATGGATTAAAAAAACATTTCCCCCTATTCTGGAGTAATCAAGTAGAATTCAAATGAACTATTTCTCCTTTGAAACTTAATCAGGTACTTTTTACTATAATTTACCTATATTTATTTATTTATTTTTGAAGAGAAAACTTCTTTAGCAGCGTTTTGCACTTTTTTTTGGTTGAAAACAAATTAGATTGAGCAGTTAGATTTCCGATGTGTAACGCTCGGATAAAGTCGGCAGGGGTCGATTAATTATTTTTTTTTTTTACATATGAAATCAAATGTTTCAAAAACTAAAAATCGGACCTACATATTTTAAGCAAGGAAAATGTTCATAATTCCTCTATTTAATGAGGTATTACTCAAAATTGCATCTTAACGCGATGCCGCACAGTGAGCAAAATGACTGATTTAGGCGGACAAGTCAATCTCACAATTGTTATATATTCAATGCCCGTTGCTTACTACGATAGTTGAATAGTCTAAAAACAGTATTAAAAATTTCGGAAAGTAATTTATAAGCACTTTGTATACTTTTGTATTTATGATTGAACAAGTTTAAGGTTAATATTGCATTGTGTTCATTAATCGATTATCGACAATTAAGTTCGACAATCCTATGTTTTTATTTATAGAAGTATACAACTTTACTAATATAAATGTTTACTAGCAAGGCAAGTACGACCAGTAAATGTAAGAATATTGTGTAGAAAAAATTCAAATTAGAATAGCGCATTGACCATTGGATGGTTTAAAAGGGAATTTAACAGATTCTAAATATGGTCTTTTCAGCTACTAAAATGCGTGAGTTTAGATTTATTCAATTTTTTTTCTTTAGAAAAAAGCGAAGATTGATTCAAGTATTCTAATAATATGAATGAAAATATTTTTTTTAATTTTATTTATGGAACTATTGAAGTTTAATTTGCACATTATCCCAGGATTTGTATTAAAATCTTGATGACCATCTTCCTCAGCCCTTATACCTTGTTCTCCGTTCCTACCTCTCAGATCGTACCTTCCGGGTTCGTTGCGGTACTGAATTTTCGCATTGCTATACAATTGAGACAGGTGTTCCTCAAGGTAGCGTATTGGGTCCCGCCCTTTACATCCTCTTCACTGCCGATATCCCTGTCCATCCCGATACCTTCCTGACAACTTATGCTGATGACACCGCCATTCTATCATCCAACACCTCCCATCCTTTACATCCTCTTTACCGCCGATATCCCTGTCCATCCCGATACCTTCCTGGCAACTTTTGCTGATGACACCGCCATTCTATCATCCGACTTAGATCCTGATATAGCATCCTCAAACCTCCAAAGACACCTCTCCCTGATTGAGCACTGGTGTAATAAATGGCGTATTAAAGTAAACGAATCCAAATGCCAACACATCACCTTCACGCTCCGACGCAGTTTCTGTCCACCAGCACACTTTAATTCCATCCAGCTTCCTTCCTCAGACACAGTCCGGTACCTTGGCTTTCTCTTAGACAGACGACTAACGTGAAACCCTCATACTAGACTTAAAAGACAGGAATTAAACCGACGATATGGCCAACTATACCGGCTACTAAACAGGAAATCTAAACTTTCCATTGAAAACAAGTTACTGATCTACAAGACAATATTGAAACCTATCTGGACTTACGGACTTGAACTGAGGGGAACAGCAAAATTTTCTAACATCAAACGCATCCAATCCTTCCAATCCAAAGTCCTTCGAACAATAGTCGATGCTATGTAACCAACAAAACCCTACACCATGACCTTAATATCCCATTTGTCCTAGACCTTATCTCATCAAAATTCTCCAAATTCCACCAGAACCTTACCCATAATCCAAATCCCTTTGCACAATCTCTATCCAACACCACCCATCCATATAATCCTCCAAGGAGGTTAAAACGGCAGTGGCCCCGTGACCTTTTATAGTTTGTAAATATTGGAGTTCTGGCAATGGCCAGATTCTCCACTCACGACATGAGTGTATGTGGCTTAAGCACTCTTGCTCAATCTCCACTGGGTTTAGCCCCAGTGACGCGGTTGAGAGAGAAGTGCTGGGATCTCCTGGAGCCATGCTTTTCCTTCCACACTTGGAGGGACAAGTCTGGTTTGGAGTTCTCTCACCAGATTGTAAATATTGTATATAGGTATGTATGTGTTCTTTTTATTCATTTATTTTTAGGTTATTTTATTCTTATTTATTGTATATATATTATTTTTCTGTATAATTTATTTTATTTACTGTACATAGAGTGTGAATGTGATCTGTGAACACTATTATAAATGTCCTTGAGACAGATTGTAATATTTTTCAA